GAAGACACTAAAACTTTACTGAGAAATATTAAAGAAGATCTACACAGAAATGCATAATGCCATGAAAAGGAAGATTAAATATCTTGAAATTGTCTCCAAATTTATAAATTCAGTGCAGTTCAAATTCCTATAAGCTGTGTGTGTGTGTGTGCATGTGTGTATGTCTAACTTAACAAAGTAATTGATTATAAAATGTTATAAAAGGATAGAGCTGAGTGATGGTACATGGGTGTGAGTAGGTATTCTTTGTATATTTCTCTGTTTGAAACATAGAATGAAGGATTTTTTCTAAAAGTGACATACTGAGGGCCTTGGAGATCCATGAGTCTAGAGTTGTGGATGCTGGCTTACACTGTTTTAATGATCCAGAAAAAGGTACATAGTATTAACTGGAATTGAAAAGAAGAGGGAGGGTAACTCTAAGAGACATTTTAAAGCCAAAGTGGATAAATTTAGTGACTTGAAGGGAAAGGAAGAGACCTTTCTTCCTTTAATAAAAGATAACAGGGGTCAGAAACTAGAGGATTTGGGAAATTATGTGGTTGACTAAACAGGGAAATTAAAGGGCAAACCAATTGGAGGGAGCAGATTATGAGTACTTTAGTTTGGAGCTGTAGGCTCTCCTCACAGAGGTTCTTCTAGCATCTGTGAATCTCTTTCAAAGGACTATGTTGTGCATCTTTTCACAAGCTTATTAGCCATTTGTGTATCTCCTTTGGTGAAATGTCTATTCAGATATTTTATCCATTTTTAAATTGGGTTATTAGTCTTTTTATTAAGTTACAAAAATTTTCTTTGTATTTCTATTGTATATATTCAAATATTTTGTTTGTGTCATCTTTTCATTTTCCTAATGAAGCATCTGTTTGAATACAAGGCCTGTGCCTTTAACTACCTATTATTATTGCCTCACATAATGTCAGAGAAAGTACCTAACTCTGTACTTGGGAGGCTTTGATGACTATATTGAAATCACTTTATTGTGCCTGTGTCATTCAGCTTCAGCTTGAATATTTCTAGGAACAGGAAACTCACTCCATCCTCAAATAGTTCTTTTCCTTATATGACAGCTTCTGTTGTCACAATTTTCTCATGTGAAACTGTAGAGTATGTTTTTTGGTTATTCCCATAATGCTTGACTTTTGAGGTTTACATGGAACAAGTCAGTTATCCCTTCTATATGAAAGCAAGTTTTCTTTTGTATTTTTTTGCCAGCTTAACACTCAATTTTTTCAGCTGTTTTAACAAAATAAAATTATTTGCTATCTTGGTACTTTACTTTGGATGCTATCTAGATGATTAATATCCTACTGAAACTATTATAGCTGGAAATAAATATACTATCACAAGTAGGATACTAAAACAAAAATAATAATAGTTACCTTTCATAGAACTCTTATTAGGTGGCATGCATAGTGCTAAGTCTTTTATGCTTCTTTATAATAACAGTAGATGAAAAAATTGAGGCCTACAGAGGTGCTTTCACCTGTCAGTTCTGCAACTAAACACCAAATCAGAATTTGAACTGAGGTCTGCTTAACTCCAGCTCTTCACTCTGCCGCCGTTGACTGGCATGGAATGCAGTGTCGCTGTTACCTCTTGTATTCTGTGTGTTCTGGTTCCATTAATTTAATCTAAGATTGGATTAATCTTTTTGATGGTAATATCGTATTTGGCAGCATATCACTGGCTTATGTTAAGCCTGTATTTAACTAAAATTTACAAATCTTAAAAAGATCTTAAATATTTGAGCTTCTGTCTGGTCTGGCTTTCCCATATTATCTTATGTAATTAATTTTAATTAGTTTATGTGCAGGAATTTGTGTTCATGTCTTTAACTACATGTTGGAAATCTTACCCTAAGTTTCTAGATTGCCAAGACAATTTTGAATGTTAAGCTAGTCATTTATGATGCTTACTCTTTCTACTGATATATGACCATGTGCATCTTTGATAACTATTCTTGCTCTGTGTTTATCTAGTCTTTTATACAATGCTGAACAGATTAAGTATGAATAAAAATCCATATAGAATATCTATTTTTCCTCAAAACATTGTTATAATGTACTTTTCTAAAGTCTAGAAAGTATGTTTGGCCACGCCCATGGTTTCCTTTTCTTAGTATTATTAATATTACGATAATATGGTCATTTTATTTTGAGGTTCTGGTTGAATGATATGGAGGATATCAGTTACAATGATTGCTTCCTCAGCCTTCTGAGCAATAAACTTATTAGATAGGAAATAAAAAGTTTAGTAGGTGTTCTATTCTTTGAATTAGACTTCTATCAGAGGATATCAGGATAATTGAAACTCCACTTTTCTTTTTATAAGTTTTTTAATGCTTTCTAGGAAAGTATCATCTATATTTCTTTTCTGGATGGACCGTAGTATGCCACTGTAATAGTATAATTAGGTTTTTCTTTTTAGTTCCTATCTTTTATTGTCTAGTGTTCTTTACTATTAAGTTCATGAGTTTCTGTTTAGGAATAACTTCTGGAAAGATCACTGGTCTTGGCTTTGAAAATTCTTGGATTTGGGGTCTGACCATACTTTGTGAACTTGAGCAAATCACTTCAGCTTTATGGACCTCAGTTTCCTTATATATACAGTAGGGTTAATAATATTATCCCTTATTACTTAAGAACACAAAAACAGGTTAGGATTTCAAAAATTGATAATTGTCTATTAATGGTTTATACAAATAGTGCCTTTATCTCACATAACAAAAAATCAAGAGGGCAGTTTAGAACAAGTATGATAGCTATGGTTGCTCAATAAAGACATTAGGGACTTAGGCTCGTCCCATCTTTCTATTCACCATCCTTAGTGTGGAGTCCTTTACCCTCTTGCTTCTTGACTCATTGCAACAAAATGACTGTATAACTCCAAGCCTCATGTCTGTGTTTCAGGCATAAAGAATAGGAAGGACTAAAAGGCTGAAAGAAAAAAACAACAACCTGGTTTTCTCTTAGTGAGATTTCTCTTTTAATTTGGCAAGGGAAGTCCTCCTAGGGATGTCTGCCTGCAGCTTATGGCCAGAACCACGTTACATGGTCACTCATTGCTTCAAGAAAAGCTGGGAAATTGTATATTTTAGCTTTTCACTCTCTACAGTAGTGGAAGGCAAAGGATAAGGGAGTATATTTAGGGTTTGTGTTGGCTAGTCAACAATATCTGCCTCATACTTTCATAGGATTGTTGGAAGGATTCAGTGATACAATGTAATTAAAAAATTAATAGCCCGGCCAGGCGTAGCTCAGCGGTTGAGCATCGACCTAGGATCCAGGCGACCAGGATTCCATTCCTGGTCAGGGCACATGCCCCAGTTGCAGGCTCAATCCCCAGTTGGGGGCGTGCAGGAGGCAGCCAATCAATGACTCTCTCATCAGTTTCTACCTCTCTCTCCCTCTCCTTTCCTCTCTATGAAATCAATGAAGATATATTTTAAAAAAATTTAATAGAGTGTAATTTAAATAAATGTAAACTATATTTATATTTCTCTTGCTGTCTATTGCTGGTCTTAAACTAGAGTGTATCCTTGCTTTAATTTATTCTAATTTTGTATTAAAGCCTCAAAAAATTATGAGATTAGTTACTTGAATGCTAAATGAGTTCACTTTATTGCCTACATTCTAGAAATTGGTATAAATATATCTAGGTATAAATACTGCATTACTTCCAACCAGCTCCTCTTTTTTTATGTAAGAATGAATAAAGACCATTCCCACATCTGGCTAATCTTTGTGTACCAAACATCCTAACCCTCATTGTCATGGGTTTTTATTAATATCTGGGCTTCTCTTTTAGGGCTTTATTTATAGATTTGAAGATTATTTGTCCACAATGATGTTCCTCCCTTTATGGACACATACCCAATTTTTTTCTTAAATGCCATTTAGCGTGGCTTAAAGAACCAAATCTTTCTACTGGTACCATCAACATGGGCATTCATTTATTTTCCTTCCAAAGTCATTGATGTCAACAATGGCAGAGCAGTTATTTTTTTAGCATTTTGTCCTAAAATCCTTTAGTTTGCTATGTAAAACTCGAAGTTTCTAGAGTTGTCATCCAGATTGCTGTTGATAATATCATTTGTTTCTATGATAATGAGCTGAGTTATATTTTAATTTGTAAAAATGGAACAAATAACTTTAGGGCATGAAAGCTTCCTGGTAACTGGGATACATTCTAGATGAATGTTTGTTTTTGAGGAAGGCTCTTTTCTGGAGAATACATCTACTTTGAGTGGAAATCGTACTGTATAAGAAGTATAAAAAGGAGCCTATCACTAATGGGAAAATAACTGGAAGGAAGAAGATCTGAAAAGTGACTCTAGCCCTACTCTTGCTTTCTTTAGCGACTCACAAAATGCTTCTAGATTAAGGATCTACTGAGTCAGAATGTACCCAGAGGTATATGAAGAAAATATCAGGAGAAATTCTGAGCAGCTAACCCACAGAATGGCAGCCCTAGTTTGAGCTGAGTAGGCTGGCTGGGAGGTAAATTTGAAAATAGGCCAAGTGTCCTAAATACACATGCTGGAGCTATCATTTGGTCCTATGGCATAAAGTGGATGAAATGACCTTCATAGTCACTAGTGTTCAGACAAAGTTGGATTGTTTTTACCCATGGAGAAGGCTAAAAGATGTTAAGAAAAGGCCTCAGGAGGTAAATAAGTACTAGAGGTGAGCTTAGAAGGGGAACAGAGGAGTGAGAATCTTAAATGAGGTCAGAGAGAGATAAGAAACAAAAAAATCTTTCAAGAATTTGCAAATGAGCAGAGAAACTTGGAGGATGTATCAAGTGGGAGACTCTCAGGTTTATTACTTCTGCATTTCTTAATTCTGATGAAAATACTGATAGTTTATAAATTGTCATCTTGTGGTAAAACAGAACTGTGATATGTGTATGGGTTTTTTTAATTTATTTTTTTATTTTTAATTTTTATTTTTTTGCTTTTCATTTGTGTTTCCTGCCTTTTTTCTTTCTTTTTGTAGACATTGTTCGAAGTGATGTTGCCTTGGATAAACAGAAAGGCTGTAAGATTGCCCAGCACCCTGATGTTATGCTGGAGCTCCAACGGGAGAAGGCAGCTCAGATGCATCTGGTTCTTCTAAAGGAGCAATTCTCCAATACTTACAGTAATCTCATATTAACAGGTAAGGCTATTGGAGCCGGCTGGAATTTCAGAGCACTGTAGATTGATGGCCTCCATCAGTTAGCAACTTGGTGCTTGGGAGACACTAAAGTGGGATCCAGATGAATCCACATCTGTCTGTCTTTACTCACTATATCCCTTTTTAAATTGTGATGACTCTTGTCTTCCTATAAAAAACATTTCTTGTAGTTTGCAGATGTATTTTGGCTTGAGGTTATGGGCGATTCAGCATGTGTGTTCTTAAAAGACAGAACCAATGAAAACCTAATGAAGCCTTATAAAAATATAACTTTTTAGTTGTGTGCCAGTAGATTTGAGAGAATTACTAAATTTGGTGTCTAAGAAGCAGCTATTTTCTTCTTTCTGTGTATGTCCTTTCTATGAACCCAGTGAATATAAAGATGAAATGTAAAAGAGATAATGATCCACAGGCAGAGCTGAGAATGTTCTGTTCGTTGTGGAGTTTGAAAATATCCGGGGAATTTGATTTTCTTTTTAAGAGCAAAGAGGCTATGAGACTGAGCCATACTCCCTTACATCCTTGGTTCTATGAGGGAAGTGAATATATGTGAGAGCTCAAAGGAGAAACAACTTTTTGCAGGGTTGCCTGCAAACTTTGCTGGTAGAGTATGTGAGTTACATGCCTTTGTCAAGCTTTGGAAAAGGTTCTAATAGCAGGCCCTGGCCTGGTAGCTCAGTTGGTTGGAGTATCGTCCCAATACACCAAGGTTGGGGTTCAGTCTCTAGTCAGGGAATATACAAGAATCAACCAATGCATGGGTGAATAAACAAAACAACAAATTGATGTTTCTCTCTCTCTGTGTAAAAAAATCAATAAAACAAAGATTCTAATAGCAGACTCTAATGTGAGAATCATGAGGGACTTGAGATGAATTAACAAGAGCAGCTCAAGTTACCACCATTTTTTTGAGGGTATGCAAGGCAGACAGACCTGCATTATATTTATCCAAATAAAATTTAACAAATCAAAAGTGTATATTTTCCCTTGTTTATGAATATTTAAGAAATAAAAAGATGGATTGTCTGACAGGCTATGAACATCTCACACTTATTTTTGTAAAGTCCAAGTTAGGAATTTTAACTTTTTTTTTTTTACAGGCTTCCTGGCATTTCACCAGGAATTGCTGAGTGGCAACCAAATTGTTTTGCGTTTTTAAAAAAACAAGTTTTTCAACTTTTTATTTTGTACCTGGTAGAAAACTCTAGCATGAGATGAAAGCCAGATTTAAATGTCGCTTTGGTGAGCAGAGAAGATGATTATGGATTTCATAAGTATAGGCCCTGTTTTTTGCTCTTTGACAGGTCATTAAAGAGGGAAAACTTAAAAGTGATTTATAGCCAGTGCATGTGTTTCCCTAAATTGGTGAGTGAAACTGTGTTTGGATATTTGGGAAGAACATAGATTTCTCCAGTTTATCTCAAATGTACAAATCTACATGTATTTAATGTTTTCCAATTCTGTTACTGGAAATGAAATATTTTTATTCTATCCTTATTCTAATATTTTAAGCACATATAAGAGAGAGGTCAGACCCCATGTTCTTTAACATGGCATAGAAAGGGCTTAGGGTAATTCTAACCCTAAACTGTGGATCCAGAGTGTGGCTCAACAGCATATTATCTTTGAAAATACAAGTGTTCTATTGAGTTCAATGGAATCTTTTCTAATTCTCAGTAACATAATCCCTTTGGATGTTTATTCGCAGTTCAAACTGTTGGAATCAACATTGTCAACTTTTACCCTGACAACTTGCTTACTTTCCACTAAACAAACTTACCCTAGTGAAGAGCCTCTTTCCTGCTCTCACTTCTCCCAAGCTGCTTCAAAGAGTCCTTAGGCATTTTCCACATTTTTCACCCAATGCCTTTGCAGAGGTGGTACCTTGCTGCAGACAGAGCATTTGGTGTGCCCCAGTGTGTTTACATGAAAGTTCAAAAGGTTTTGGTTCCAGGTGTTGGGAAGAGATGGAGTCATTTCAATTTAGCACCAATGGTAAAACTATTTTAGTGTCCTTTAACTAAGTCTTTGATTTTACACAGCGTGGTTTTCTAATTGTTATGAAGTTTAATCCTTGATTTCTTGTATAAATTTTGAGAACATGGTCTCCAGACAGCTAAACATAATATTTAAACATAACTAAACTAACTTTTGTAAATATTTCCCTTTTCAGTGATGAATGTATATTGGTAAGGAGGGTGAGGTTGAAGGGGCAGAGACCTCTCAGATGAAGTGACTTTCTTTACCAACATGCTCAGAACACCTACTCTAGGAGCTCTGCTTGGTGATGTTCCACTTATTTTGTGTAACTCTGGCATAATGTTTGAGATATCTACAGTAAAGTATTTATGTGGGAACGGGATGAGGAATTTGGCCTCCAAAATCTCAGAAAATCACTTTTTCACACCTCTGCCCTCCCCTAAACACCTCTCCCAGTTATTTACAGAATTTCATGTATATGGGTAGCAGTGTGTCGTAATTATTTCCTGGTCAGTTAATAGTATATTCTTTATTTTGAAATTGGATAACTAAGATCACAGTATAGGAAAAAAATCAATTAAGTGATCGAAGTGTCAGTATGGTAAGAAATTAATAAAGTGATTGAAATGTCAGATGGTTATAAGCATTTAAAAAATATTGGTTGTTGGCTTCATGTCACAAGCAAGCCCTCATTCTTAGATGTTTTATCTTTATCTGATGTGACTATTAGCATTGAGGTGAGAGGCATGCCTTCATGTTCTTTATTTCAGCTCATGATCGCTCTTAAAAAGATACTGACCGCTCAGATGAGTGCCTTTTGACCATTTAATAAAAGGAAACAACTCTACAGTCCTAGTAACTTCCCAGTTAATGAAAACTAATAATAATTCTTTAATGCATATATCTTATTGAAGTATTCCTCATTATATCATACTTTTAGAAAAGTAGATTATATTTTTGCATGATACTAAGCATGTCTTAATATGAATGATTTACATGGTATTGGAAATAGCCTCACCTAACAGAAAGTTTTGAAGTAAACCCTAGGGCTACAGGAAGGTGAAGGAGTACCTCCAGTATAACATCTGTGATTGAACTGTTTTAAATGGTGATGAGTCATATACTGCACTTATCACACTGACTCACCAACACCTGAATGTCTGCTTATCCTGGAGCTTCTTGAGTCTGAGGAGTGACAGTAAGGGGAAGTTGGGTAGGAGCCTTTAAGGAAGAACAGTGATCATGCCTTCCATTTCTTTGTGCTCTCATGATTCTTTTTTTTTAATCCTGACCCGAAGACATGCTCCTTGATTTTAGAGAGAGAGGAAAGGAGAGAGAGAAGCATCGATGTGAGAGAAACATCAGTTGGCTGCCTCCTGTACATACCCCAACAGGGATTGAACCCGCAACCCAGGATTGAACCCGAAACCTTTTGGTGTATGGGACGATGCTGCAGTCAACTGAGCCATACTGGCCAGGGCTCTCATGATTTTTTTTTATTGTGTGTGTGCTCTCCTGATTCTTAATCTAATAATAATGTTCTATAAATTTGTTGAAAATATTCTGCTGTGAATGGATGAATTAGCATGAAGACTCTTTTTTAAGGGATAATTTTGACATCAGTTAAATAACTTTTATAGGTTTAGATTCAGTTATTTGTCTTCCTTCACTTCACTTCATCTCACCTCACCCCCCTTTTGAAGTGTAAATTGGATCCTTATACTATAATCAAGTGAAAAACAGGAAATAAAAGTTGAAAGTCGGCCTTTAAGGGGCAACACATATTCTAGGATTTTGTTTAGGGCGTAAACTCGTGGAGGGCAAGAATAACCAGGCAGCCAGAACCATGACCATTATAAATGGATGGCATTACTCAAGATGTTCATAGTACCCTGTCGTGACCCATTCTTTTAACTTCTATTAAGAGAAAGGGCTCAGGTTGGTGCAGTGAGAACTGTTCTTTCAGTTCCCACAAACCATAATGCCCAAAGGACTATTTCCAGATCTTCTTAATTATTTACATTATATTCTGTAGTACTGAATATAACATAACTTTATTTAATTATTTTCTTATTAATGTCCATTAATTTCTATCTATATTGACCCATTTATTTATGTGGAGGAGACATATCAAAAAGGACGTCTGGGTCAAAAGATGTGTATTTTTAAATTTTATAAATTCATGTTTATGGAGGTATAATTTACATGCAGAAAAAGTAAATTTTGACAAATGTACAGACTATATAGTCATATAACCACCACCACCATCAAGATATACAAGATTCTGTCACTCTAAAAGTTCTCTATATATCCGTAAAACAAAGAAGGAACTCTTACCTTTTGTGATAGCATGCATGGACATGGATATTATTAATTCTAATTGAAGTAAGCCAGTCAGAGAAAGACAAATACCATATGATCTGACTTATATGTGGAATCTAATGAACAGAGTAAACTGAGGAACAAAATAGAAACAGAGGCATAGACACATGGAACAGACTGACAGCTGTCAGAGGAGATGGGGAGAAGGGGACTGGATGAAAGAAGGTGAAGGGATTAGCCAAAGGACATATATGCATAATCCATAGACACAGACAGCAGTGTGGTTGGTGATGAGCAGAGGGAAGTGAGGGTGGGGGCTGGGTGGAGGTAGGCAAAGGAAGGGTAAAATGGAGACATCTGTAATAGTGTTAACAATAAAAATAAAGTTTAAAAAAAAGAAAAGAAAAAGTTCTCTTATTTCCCTATACAGTCAATCTCCTTTCCCAATCTCCAGTCCTTAGGTGTGTCTGATCTGATATTTGACCCTAAATGTCATGTAAAAAAGTAGTTGTGTGTGTATTATTTCTTTCACTTAGCATATTTTTTTTGAGCTTCATTCATCTTGTTGCATATATCAGTGTTTCATTCCTTTTTATCATTGAGTAATGTGTTATGAATATCCTACAATTTATTTATTCATCTGTTGATGGACATTTGGTTTGTTCCTAGTTTTTAGTGAT